AAAACAGGAAATTTTGTAAAGAAAAGAAGGCTATTGAGAACAATGCACCGAACATATTTTGCACTTTCAAAGTTAACAAAGGCTTTAAAACATTTCTAACTTTCAAATAGCTGAATGGAATTTTCTTTTTAAATAATTGTTATCGTAGCACAACCTTAATCCTTTTATGCAAACTTTTTAATTTTTTTTTTAATCTGAGATAATAGTTTCTTTACTTTATTTTTCCTTTTAAAATTTTAAACATTTTCAAAATAAGGTTTACCTGATGCAGTATACATCTGAGGAAGATTTGTCCCGGTATTTAAAGATTGAGAGGGAAGGATGCTATATAATTATCAGGTTTTGCTGAATTTTATTTATAAAATTTCCAAATAATTCATTAAGTTATCAAAGGACAAATGGCCGGAAATGACCGGAAATCATGGCCACTATTAATTTATACTTGACGTCATGTTCAGTTAAAAATTCCCACTTATGACATGGGAACGTCCAAAATTGGACTGAACTTGAAATGGACATCCCCTTCTGAAACGGCTACAATCAAAGATTGAAGACTGGCGTTTAGTAAATTATTTTAATAAGTCCTGTTTAAACAAAATTGTTTGTCAATTCTCTTTTTAAAAAAACCTTTAAATTTGTAAACAAAATTAAATATAAGATTAAAAGCACAGTAATAAAAACAAGGATCGATATAAAATATACGAAAATATAGAATGTATTTTTTAAATACAATTTGAAAATGTTTTTCTGCTTTCTTTTTTTGTAGATCATTATAAGATTTACTTCTGAATACAATTGTAAGCCATATTGTTAGGGATAAATAGATAATAAATGATAATAATAAAATAGAACTTAATCAATTTTAAAGGAAAATTGTACAATTTGTCTTACTAGTTACATCTGCAGGTTACATTCATTGATGTACTCATTTTCAAGATGTTTCGGATGAAACAAAGTATGTCCTTAAATAATATTAAGTTTTTTGCTCATTTCCTTTATTTAAAAAAGAAACATACATGCATGAAGCAGAATGTTCATGTCTACCGTCGAAGGAATTGATTTGCCAATATTGAAAAAACAAAACAAAAAACATGTTGACTGTATGAAAATTTATATCAAAAGTGTTTCTTTACAAATTTTAAATTACATTTTGTTACACGCCTTTGCAACGCGACAGTCCTCACTTATTGATAATTATAATATGTGTGCTAATTTTGTTTGACAGTTTATATTGATTGAATGAGATTCATTGATGTAGGACGTGTTTTAATTTGTGAAGGAGGATATTTAGAATCAGATAACTATCTCATTTTAAACAATGGTTTTAGACTTTACTTTATTAAAAATATTAAATTAGTTAAATTTATAGAGGAAATTAGCTTTAGAGGAAGTACACGGTGACTTTCAGCAAATTTACTCAATATTCGTAAAATAGCTCTCTTTTTTTGAGGGGGGGGGGGATTTTTATTATTTTGTCTTTTAATGAAACATCGTAAAAATAAATATCATATAATTATGTACATGAGAGAATACAATTGGTTATCAGATTCAATTAATAAATGAATTCTATTTCCGTGTAAAGATATTTAAAGTCAATAAATAAATTCAAAGTCGATATTTTTCTATATATATAAATTACATGTTCTGCTCAAAAGAATATCCAAATAATGGAATGACCATCGTTTAAAAATATCAAAAATAAGAAATTTTAAGATTTATATAATATTGAGAAATCCATTTTTTTCCTTGAAGAAATTGTTTAAGAAGACTTTCAAGTAGTATCGTGGTTTTATTTTTTAAAAAAAATTCTTTTATGATTAACAGGCATTACCATTTCAGTAGAATTTTAAGCGAGGATTTAATTTTGCATTAGTAGAGAGGGTGCCGATATCGCTTATATTGAATATCGCTAAGAATTAATTGCGTTTTTTTTTATTTGTTGTAAAAGCTTCTTTAAGATGCATTTTTAAATCGCTAAAATAACATCTCGCTAAAAATAATTCAACAGTTTTTAAGGACAAATCGCTAAATTGTCTCGCTAATATTTCCACTTATACGGTACAAGTACTATAAAAATCCACCCATGACTTTTATTTACTTTTTTATTGAAAGTCAATAAAAATTACCAAGGATTTATTTGTGTTGAAGATTTAAAACTAAAATGCCTCAAAAATCTTTGAATAAATTAGTTTGTGGGGGAATACTTTATCAAAATGACTTTGCATATAAACGTGCAAAAGTACAATATACTAACATTATAAATGAATTATATAGGACCTGTTTTCAAATTGGTACTTTATCATTTTGAAAAACGTGATTTAATTTATTATAAATTAAATTTTACTAAAACGTAAAAAAATATTCAGATAAGTTTGAAAATTTAATACAACGATCATTGTTTAGTAAGCTTGAAAGGTATTTTAAATATTTTCTTTCTTAAATCGAAATGTTATTTATGAAGTTTTTTTTCAGTTTCATAATTATGGTAAAATATCAATAACCAAAAATAATTTTTTCTGTTCTTGATGAATTTGAAGAAAATCCATTTCAAAGAAAAGAAACTTGTAAACTTATATTCTTTCTGTCAACATTAAAATATACCCAGTTATACAAATAAAAGGTTTATTATTTCGCATTCTTACTTTCACTTTCTTCGTGGAGCTATTAATAGACTAGAAAGTGCAACGTAATAAAACTTAACAATGGCTATCAATCAGAAAGAAATGATATTCCAAGGTGAATGTTAGCCCTGAGAGACAGACACTCCTTATATTACAAAGCTGTGATTGGTCCACTTTAAATGGACCAATCGTTATCTGAATCTTACTCTGAATGTATATGTCTTCAGATAATTTTTATCTGTATTAAATTTACGATAAATGCTTTTTTGTGTGATTTTGGTCTACTTTTAGAATTAAGGCTTATAAGATTTTGAAATCATTTTTATGCTACACGATAATTAGAATCATCTGCTCATGTATACGTAAGGGAAATGCTGCTTTAGCATAAAAATGTATTTTGATGATATTGACATGATGTAAGAAAAATACAAAAAATTGAAATTTGCATTTCGCTTGATATACAAGTTCATATTATATGTAAGGTGAAAAAAGAAAAAGGAAGAACAAAATTACCGATGCTTTATTGAAATAAAGTCGATCATATTAAACGTTACATGTAAGCTTCAACAAATTATAATTATAGCATTAATTGATATACATGTATTTCGATGCTATTGATACTGTTTTAGGACGCCAGGTTATATTTGAAATATATTTTGGGATACATCTGAAAACTATTTTAGGGCATGGTTTGAATTATTACATAACATGATTAAGGGTGTTCAAAGAAGTGAAAAAAGAGAACTTCCGGTACTAGGATTCTGTATAGAAAGTTTCCGTTAAGAGCCTGGTGCGTGTATATTCTCAATGAACGGGACAGGAAATGCCTGATCTGTATTGAATGTAATATAGAATCCGACTAAAAAGAGGAATTTTATTCAGAAAAGTGATTTTCTGAATCAAATTTTTAGGGTCAGAAAGTAATAAAATAAAATAATTATGCAAAAAAGACGCTTCAAAATGATACGTTTATTATGAATTTCATAGCATTTATTTAATTTTTTTTCACAAAGAGTTTTACGTTATATAAAAATGTTCTTTTCAATAATGTTTAATATGAATATAGAGTAATATTTAAAATGCCTTTATCAGTCAATTTACTTGAATAAAATATGGATATAAAGAGCAGTTTTCATGCTCAATTGTCAAAATTTCTTAATTTAATTCTATAATTTCTATTTATATAGAAACATACACTGCAGTCAAAAATAAATTTTTGAAACTGAAAAGTAAGCACAGTCACTTTGAGATTGATTTGGTTTTATCTAAAAACATTAGAAAAAGATTTAGAACTATCCATTTAAATATCCATTTAAATATGCAATATATTATAATTCAACAATTATGAATTATAAATAAACATGGTTGTCAGTCTCTATTTTTTCTCTATAGTTTTAAGAACTACAAGTGCAAATGATTTGACAAAAGTATGTATTGAAAAGGAAAATATTTTTAGGTTTTTAAAGACATGAATACTTGACTAGACATATTTGTTTTATAAATTCAAAAGTAACATTGAATAAAAGAGTTGGTATACTAATAATAGGAAAAAAAATATTTAAAAAATATAGATAAACCGGCAGCAAAAAGGCTTACACAATGAGCATTAACGTATGATTAATTTGTACCGGAAATATTGAGACTTTTGCTTACGTAAATATGTAAGCAATAAACTACATCAAATATACTATATACTACACATGTGTGAAAAGGCAATCAATCAATATTTTTTTTAATGAAGAGATTGTTCATCTACACGTATTGGAACACAGTTTTATGTTCAAATATAATTCTTTTTTTTTTCAATAGAGAATTAAATGAAATAAGATAAGTTTCGAAAAGTGGTCCAAAAATAGTTGCTTTCTTGATATAAAAAAAGAAAGCGGATTTATGCCCGAGTATAAATAAACTACGATAGCTTCCCTCTACAGGTAAATTCCTTAAATAACTTGACACACTTAGGGTTGCTTTATTCAGGGCATTAAATACGTAGGTGAATTCTTATCTCACTTAACCGTCGCATAGGTCATTAAGCTATTTAAAGTCCCTCCCAGTTTGAATTTCGAGCGTTAAGTGTCATTGAAAGAGTCAAGCTTTTCTTTCAGTTTTCAGGGACATTTTTTACGTTAGCAATACAACTTATTTTATCCATACAACAAAATTTTTCACAACAACAAATACACTTTTGAAATTGTAAAGCTACTTTTTATTGTACCTGTTATAAATTAATCATGATAAGGTTAATTTGTTTAACATTTGAGGATGTATCAAAAGTATTAAAAGAATTAATATTATTCAGAATCTAAATTTCTATTTACGACAAAAAAGAAATCTAAAAAAAAATCAATCAGAACAAACATTTTAACTGCTACATATATTTTTTAAATTTTTTACCTCATGTAATTATATTTACCGAAAAATTAATTATAATGAGATAAACGCATGCATGAGATAAAACTCCTTACAGTTTCTATAATGACTTGTTAGTTTCGTTTAAAATCATCATTTCGAAAGTTCTATGGTCGATAGAATAATCTTGTCAGGAAATACAATTTTTCATAAAGTCAAACGCTGACTGACGCTTTCCATACTATTAGCTAGGCCATTTTATACACTCTAAATTGTCGAAGGATTATCTTCCCATTATTTCTCCATCATGACAAGAAGCAAACGGTGGGTGTGACCGGTCGGTAGGGGATGCTCAATCTTCCGCGGTACGTGATCCCACCTCTGATGTTTTGGAGGTCTTTGTTTGCTTTGCTCCTACTCTATTATGTTAAACTGACGTTTGAACTCCTATAGACCTGTTCTTTATCTCCATATATTTCATGAAGAGAAAAAAATCAATGGAAGGAATCAAAGTAAAATAATGCTATAATGCTGACAGAGATGTTCGTGAGAATTCAAATGGTAGCTGCCATACTTTAAATCACCGGTTACGATACAATAAAGTTCAAATAATAACTATGCCTCTGTTTCATGGAATATTTTGCTAATATATCTCTTCTACGATATTTTCTACGTTTGCATCTCATGATCCTCTGAACATTTGTCTGATCTTCAGCATTTTGTTTAAGCATGAGTGTTCCATTTTTTTCCACCACATAGGTTTCCCAAAAGAATAACGTTTCCTGCAAAATTTGTTGCGCGACTCTGAGCTTTAACAGATCTTTTTCACCAGGTTCGGGATGATTTCGTTTTGAATATCTAAACCTTTTTCTTCTAATTCGACAATCTTTTGTCGTTTTGAACTTCTTTATCTTCTTTCTTCTTTTCATCTTTCCCTTCTTTTTTCTTGCTGTTTTAGAGCAATGAAGGTTCCTATTAGCCTGATATAAACTACACATAATGGGTTGTAAAGAAGATGCAGGTATGACATCTGCCTCGTGCGGTATTGAAACTGTTTCTAACACTTCGTATACCAAGGTTAAGTTTGCATAAGTCTCATGTATGAAACGAACCTAAACGTAAAAAATACCAATATTACATTTAAGAATGTTTGTGTTTACCAAACTGGAAACAAAGATATCAGATACATTGATTTCCTTATTGTAACAGAGTGATACAAAATCATGTATTTTCCAGAAAAGTAAATTGACTGATGACTTACCTTCCTTTTGATTCTTCTACGAAATCCACAAAAAGGGTACATTACACGAACATTGGGTGGATTCTGATAAGGAACCTTCACATAACCAAAATTTCTTTTCTGAATAGATAAAAATATTCTTTTAATATTTTTATAAAATTACTTTTTTTTTATTATATGCAAATCTGCTTACCATTTTTTTTTTTTGTTTCTCAAATATTTATTTATCAGTTTGATTCAATTCATACAAGTGTGAAAAATATTTTAAGATTTTTGTAACAATATAGATATACAAAAAAGTTGAATTTGAAAAATAATTCATTCGTACATGCATATGCATGCATTACTATATATCTACTTACCAATACTTTAGTACGAAAACTTAATTTCTGAATCACAAAATTTATGCCAGTTTTGATAGCGTCAATGGAAACTTTGTGATTGCAGGTTGCTCCTAAGGTCACATTAGAAACAACTGGATTTTTCTGATTGCATGGTGAACATATATTAAGGGAGCTCGAAAAACTTATATCCAATACCAGGAAGCAGGTGAAAAGTAACCCTAAAAAAGAAAACGATATTGAGTCACTCTTTGGTATTTGTTTACACTTGTAATATAAAATAAAAATTGCAAAAATAAAGAAAGAACAATAAAACTCCAATGCAAAATATCGAAAGACATGCAAAATGTTTAAAACGTTGAGACAAAATTACAATTACACGTACAATAGTTAATAAATAATATATTTAGCATTGCATATTATGTAATAAACTTGTGCCAGTTTTACCAATTCCCATGACATGACAATCAATAGTTTGACAGCAGTTACGGTACAATTATTTATAGAGATTTTTCAGGAAAATCTAGCTCACATTGGACATCTCCCACTACATCCGTGGAAGTAAATTAACTTTTTTTTACTATTAGCTGTTTGTATGAAATCCATTGTATCCTCAAATTAGCAATACATTTCTGGTTTTGTTTTTGTTTTTTGCTTATTTAATAAACATTCTAACAAATATAGATGCATTATATTCCATTATTGAGGAAATAAAATACAAAAACAATTTTAAATTTTAATATTTTGTTTTTCAATTTCATCTTCTGTTAATTATTAATTCGTCATGCCTAGTAAATTGTACTTCAACTTAACTATCTGATGTAAGAGAGATAACCTGTTGTTGTCTTAAAATATCATAATAACTAACACTTTAGAATTGAGATTGTATTTAATTCATCTTCAGTGAAAATACGTTGGGAATGTTATATAAACGTAACCATAATGCATAATGCTATTAGGTAAACATTTAAATATTTTGGAACCAAAAGCTGGATCCCTTTTAAAAATGACTAAAAGGGTATTTTTGAAAATATGTTTTAATATATTTCCATTTCTATTTGTTTCCGCTGTGATAACTCTTTGAAAGTTAGAAGACTTGATTTTCTTGATTAATCTGCCGGCATGTAAATTTCGCCAAGAAATGGATCAGGAGCTGAGGAGGCATAATATTCATGTAAATCTCGTGCGTCTGTCTCAGTGTCTAACGCTTGGAAGGCATACTGTATACAGGGTTATTTTCGCCCCGTGTTATTTTCGCCCTTTCATATTCGGAAACAAGTTTGCCCCGTTTTAAATTCGCCCAGAAAGATTTTTGTTTAAGAAATTATACTTTTTACTTTGAATTCGCCCCGTTTAAAATTCGCCCACTTCCGACGAGGGCGAAAGGGGCGAAAATTAAACGGGGGCGAAAATTTCCCTGTATACAGTAATATGCATGTAAATCTCGTGCGTCTGTCTCAGTGTCTTATGCTTAGAAGGCATAATATTCATGTAAATCTCGTGTGTATGTCTCAGTGTGTAACGCTTAGAAGGCAAAATATTCATGTAAATCTCGTATGTATGTCGCAGTGTCTTACGCTTTGAAGGCATAATATGCATGTAAATCTCGTGCGTCTGTCTCAGTGTCTAACGCTTAGAAGGCATAATATTCATGTAAATCTCGTGTGTATGTCTCAGTGTCTAACGCTTAGAAGGCATAATATGCATGTAAATCTCGTGCGTCTGTCTCAGTGTCTAACGCTTAGAAGGCATAATATTCATGTAAATCTCGTGTGTATGTCTCAGTGTCTAAAGCTTAGAAGGCATAATATGCATGTAAACCTCGTGCGTCTGTCTCAGTGTCTTATGCTTAGAAGGCATGATATTCATGTAAATCTCGTGTGTATGTCTCAGTGTCTAACGCTTAGAAGGCATGATATTCATGTAAATCTCGTGTGTATGTCTCAGTGTCTAACGCTTAGAAGGCATAATATGCATGTAAATCTCGTGTGTATGTCTCAGTGTCTAACGCTTAGAAGGCATAATATTCATGTAAATCTCGTGTGTATGTCTCAGTGTCTAACGCTTAGACGGCATAATATGCATGTAAATCTCGTGCGTCTGTCTCAGTGTCTAACGCTTAGAAAGCATGATATTCATGTAAATCTCGTGTCTATGTCTCAGTGTCTAACGCTTATAAGGCATAATATTCATGTAAATCTCGTGCATCTGTCTCAGTGTCTAACGCTTAGAAGGCATAATATGCATGTAAATCTCGTGCGTCTGTCTCAGTGTCTTATGCTTAGAAGGCATGATATGCATGTAAATCTCGTGCGTCTGTGTCAGTGTCTAACACTTAGAAGGCATAATATTCATGTAAATCTTGTGCGTCTGTCTCAGTGTCTTACGCTTAGAGGGCTTATCTATGCATGTAGATCTCGTGCGTCTGTTTCAGTGTCTTATGCTTGGAAGGCATAATATGCATGTATATTTCGTGCGTCTGTCTCAGTGTCTTACGCTTAGAAGGCATAATATGCATGTAAATCTCATGCGGTTGTCTCAGTGTCTTGTGCTTAGAGGGCATAATATGCATGTAAATTTCGTGCGTTTGTCTCAGTGTCTTACGCTTAGAAGGCATAATATGCATGTAAATCTCGTGCGGATGTCTTTGTGTTTGACGTCATTTGGAGGTGACTATTGCAATTGAAACGGGAGACCCCTTGTAATTTTAAAACATCTATTAAACTACATTTTAAAAATCTAAATCTACAATTTTATATCTCAATGAAATGGAAATATAAGAAATCACTGTCTAGTTAGAAGAGTATGCCAGAAACATCAACGATAGTTGGAAACGTAGGATAATTTCTGCATTGCATAACGGGCGAACATAACGGACTTCGCCCGTTATGCAAATTATCCCACGTCTCCAACTATCGTTGATGCCCTGGCATACTCTGCTAGCTAGACAGTGATTCCTTAAACATACAATGTATTTTGATACACTGATATGCTATATGGAACTTTGCTGTTTTGGTTTTCAGTCAAAATAGTCCTTTGATACCTTAAAATTTGCTTTACGTTTAATATTTACACCAATACCTTTTTTGTATCATACGACATAATGTTACTCGTTTGTATGTTTAAAATATACTATCTTTGTTTTTGTTTCTTTTTAGTGACCACGGTTAGCTTCAATAAGTAAAGCATGCAATAATAAAAGTATCTCACGACGTCTATTTTGCAAATAATTCTACTGCCAGGGTGTAATAGGAATTGAAAATATAAAGTAAATACGTGAAATGAGGAAATGTATGTATATATTTCACTGCATGATCAGAGGAAATGAATAATGTTTTATTCTTTTCATATGTGTATATAAAATGCGACAAATCTGAACGAGCAAGTCGGCAACAGCTTCAAGTGTATTTCTTGATGTATATAACCGAAAGGAAAAACTTGATAATCGGAAATAGAAACTCAGGAAGGAACTTGACTATCAGTAATACGTACCTAAATGGGAACTCCTAAATTAGCAGAACAGCACCCTACAAAATATGTAATCTATATCAGCAATTAAAATTAACAAATAAAAGTTTATTTACAAATGACAATAGCAAATCAGAAAAAGTTCCTTTTTCTGAGTGTTAGAGTAAGGGTACAAGCGTTTTGGTCAACGTTATGATGACCAAAAAATTAAATCTACATAAAACTTAAAAGTATTCCTGCAGATACACTGTAGCAACAATTCCGTGTAACAAGAAAAACTCCACAATCGGCATCAGCCTTGGTAAACACAAACAAATTCCACACCGCATAGCAGAAGAAAAATTGTAAAAAGAATGACAACTACGTAAAACAGTATACCCATATAATTGGAAGAAAACACTTGTTACACTAGTTCGAGAACACCTCGAACTCAGTAAAATAAAAGGTCGGTTAGGGTAGCTTGGATTGATTGTATGTTGTTTAACGTCCCTCTCGGGAACTCTGTACTCATATGCAGACGCCACCACTTGCCGGTGGAGAACTCTATATTTTCTCCTATGCTCGGCACTTACAGCCATTGAGCAGTGATACAGATTTAAGTCTTTCGTTCCAGCACCTACTGCGACACGGGACCTCGGTTTATACTTTCTCATCCGGAAGAACGGTCTCTACGTCCCATAGTGGGATTCGAACCCGCGACGTAAGGACTGCCTCCTTACTTTGCGACTCTAGAGCAGACGGTCTAACCACTATACCACGCGGGCGACGAGCAGCTCGGAAGAAAATTCAATTAATATTACAACTGGAAAACATTCTCTTGTTTAGTTTTTCAATTTTATCTATAGATATATCGATGACGAGTTGTTACTGAAAAAATAAGTTGGTTCGATATATTTAAGCATACATAATAAAAAAATAAGTTTAACACATACGTTTAAAATTCTGTTGATCTTAAGAAAAAAGGCATTATTTGCAAACTGATTGCTTAAACCTTATAAACATGGTGTTTTCAAGTTTTCTTTTTGTCAAATTCATTTATTCATGTAACAATAAAATGTAAAAAAAAAAAAAAAAAAAAACCATTAAAATAGGAAAGATACTGCCAAATTAATTCATAATACAATTTTATATGTATTTAGTCACATTTATGATCGATTTTTAAGAACTATTACAGAATACGTAGGATTTTAGAATAATACAATTCGGATTGAGCAGCAACCGTCCCTTGCAGACCCCCCGTCACATCAACGGGAAAATCGGAAATAATATGAAAGTAACGACATGTAACCATGCTCAAAAGTTTACTGAAACAAGAGAAATCAGGAGCAGAGAAAAACAAAGCTTTAAAGACAGACATCAGAGGAGGAAGCAGGTGGCATGGAGACGTATCACACTGTCATGATGGTGGTAGGGGAAACATTCCTGGACATATGATGTGTAAATTAAGTGTACATGCAAGCAGAACCAATGATAGGCAATTTTTGTTCAAAATGCCATTGTAGCCACACACACACACAAAACCCACACACACAAAACCCACACACACATAGACACACACACAAAAAAATACCGACTTATGTATGGATTCGACATATAAATGATGTCACGTTTAATAGATAACGCATCATTAATAAGTGTCCATTTATTTTTCCAAGTTTGTTTGAAAATTATGTCTCTCAGGACTATTTACTATAAATGCCGTCAATAAGGAACTACAGTATACTTTCAATATCGACTTCAGAGTACTTGAGTGTACAATCAGAGCGTTCATACTTATAGGAATAGATGTAAAATTATACAACATCTATTTCAAAATCATTAATAAGAAAAACTGCAGAATTACAGAGGCAAAATAATGTTCACTTCTGTGACGGGGGTCCTCCCCGTCACTGGCACTGGTTAATAATGACGATTGTTTTTATTTACATCGTTTATTTACATATTTACAACACACGCAATATAGTCATAAGAATGCACAAAGTTCACAAT